CCTCCCCCCCGTTGCCCTCGGCCCATTGCCCCAGCCTGTCCTCGTCCCTCTGCAGTGCCTTCCTACCCTCCGGCAGACCGACACTGCCCCCCCAGCTTGGTGTCATCTGCAAACTTACTAAGGATAGACTCAGTTCCCTCATCCAGGTTTTCAATAAAGATATTGAATAAGACTGGGCCCAGTACTGACCCTTGGGGGACGTGCCAGGTCACGGGATGACAACTAGATGCAGCACCATTCACCACCACTCTCTGGGCCCGATCATCCAACCAGTTTTTTACCCAGCAAAAGGTGCATCCATCCAGGCTGTGGGCTGCCAGCTTTTGCGGGAGGAAGCTGTGGGAGACTGTGTCAAATGCTTTTCTGAAATCAAAGTAGACCACAACCACAGCCTTCCTCTCATCCACTAGACAGGTCACCCAATCCTAGAAGGAAATGAGATTGGTCAGGCAGGACCTTCCTTTCCTAAACCCATGTTGGCTGGACTTTATCACTTGGTTGTCTTCTACATGCTGCTTGATGGCACTCAGGATGATCCGCTCCATAACCTTGCCAGGCACTGAGGTCAGGCTGACGGGCCTGTAGTTCCCCGGATCCTCCTTCTGGCCCTTCTTATGGATGGGCACCCTTCTGGGACCTCCCCAGTTAGCCAGGACTGATGATAAATGATAGAGAGCGGCTTAGCCAGTTCTTCTGCCAGCTCCCTCAGCACCCTCAGAACCTCCAAAAGAACATCAAGGTCCCTTTTTAGGTGAACTTAGGGTAGTCAAGCTTTGAAGACTGTAGACACATCCAAGTGAGGATTAAAAATTTTTTAACAAAACCCAAGACAAACTCTGGGGAGACCTTAGAGTGGCCGCCTAGTACCCGAGGGGAGCCTACAAGAAAACTGGTGACTTGTGGGGCAGGAACAAGGAGGATTTAGATTAGATATAAGGAAGAAGTTCTTTCCTGTGAGGGTGATGACACGGTAGAACAGGTTGCCCAGGGGATCTCTGCATGCCTCATCCTTGGAAGTGTTAAAGGTGAGGTTGGGTGAGTGTACGAGCAACCTGGTCTAGAGGAGATTGGAACTAGATGATGTATGGTCTCTTCCAACTAAAACCCATTTTATGGTTCTATGAAATGACTCAAAAGAGCCCTGGCAAGGGGCTGTGCTCAGTGCTGCAGAGGAAGGCAAAGAAACCCTCCCTGTGGGGAAAAAAGCCACCTTCTACAGGGCATGAGCGGCCATCTTGCGTGAGCAGCAGGCAGCAACCGAGCCAAAGTGGGACAGTGGAGCCCTGACAAGTGGTCATGCTCAGTGCTGCAGAGAAAGGCAAAAAAACCCCAGGGACCAGTGCTAATCTGCCCCGGGGGAACATTCCTTCCTGACCCCAGTGCTGGCCATCGGCTATTCCCTGAGCATGTGAGCAAGACCTGACCCCGCAGGCTGGTCACACCTCTCAGGAAGAACTGTTAAGGGCGGAGTGAAGATAGACTGTCCTACTCTCCTGAACAGTAGCAAAGTGGCGATGAATGTTTGGAAACTGTGTTTCATGTGTATGCTGAGGACCAAAAGCAATCTTGAATACTGGTATTAGTTTAGGGATTTGGTGTAGAAGAAGGAGAGTAGGCTATCAGCATGAGTAGATCGTTACTGTTTTTAATGGCCTATGAGTACTTCCATTGTGAAAGTTTTCAGAAGGACACAGAGCTTTTGCAGTGAATGTTTGTTTGGTACTAGATGAGGTGTTTGGCTTTTGTGTTGTGTTTTCAACTGGGAACATTGGGTCTACTTGTTCAGACCTGTAACTATGACTGATTTTGGAATAATCTTTTGTTTTGTATGGTACTGGAGTTAGTTGTTTGATATCCAAATTTTACCTATATGTTTACGCTGTATAGTATGTAATGCTTTGGAAAATGACCTTTTTTGACAATATCTTTTTAGTGGTCTGATTGTCAATTAGATTTAAAAACATCCACCTGTCTTGCAAGATAGGCATTTTGCAAAGCAAAATTTATGTATGCAACCTTAGTGATGGTGCTGCAACAAAGTTGATGTTTTATTGTTCATTACATGTATACTGGATTTTTATATTTGAATTTTGATGTATGAGCTATGTTTTGGTTTGGCTGACATGGGTTTTTGCAACCTTACTTGGCATGAAGTTGTGAAATTTCTCTGAACAGGTTTTCTGCCCTTTTTCTTTGTACTGTTTTTTTTTAAATTCTTAGAAGGACTCAGAAGATGTTCTGTATGTAAATGCTTGAATCCCTGTCTGTCTGCAGAAGTTTTAAACCTAAAGCACCTGTACTAAATTCCCACAGTATTAGGAGCTTGAGTTTCAAATCCAGTCTAAGAGCACGATGGTCTGAAAGAAACAAAATAACTAATTTTGTTGCATGCTCTTGTGGCTGGTGAGTATGGATTCTGCTCAGGAGACTTTTCAGTAAGGTAGAGCTATTCACAGGCAATGCTTGGAACTGGTTTTTTTTTTTGTTTAAAGGGAAGACCAGTGTTTACCGAGATGGTATAGTTAGCAATTGTTGAAGTAAATCGTGGTAATTGTTGAAGTAAATTGTGATATAGAATAATTAGTTCTGGAATAAATATTATTGCTTGTTGATCTGTGTTGTCTCTGTGTAGGTCCTTCCCAAATCCCCTTCACCTACCGGTAACAGAAACAGGACATCTTCATTTACAGATCAAAATGACGAAGGCACTTTAACACCAGATAAAGAGGCAAGTTGAGAACTATTTGCTGTATTTTTCAAGTGTAACTTAAATCTAACTTTGTGTCCTTGATTAACGTTTTTTGATTCCTCGATCTCATTATTTTTGGGGGGTTTACAGATATGAATAGTCTAATTTTTAGGTTAATTACTGAAGTGTTTAATAAGAGGAAAATATTATATTTTCCAACATAAATGATTCTGTGATTCCATGATTCTAAAACAGCCTTTAAGCTGTAGAGGTTAACCTCCACATTAAGAAAACTTTCAAGTCCTTAAGGTCTTAATTAAAAATCGTACTCCTGAACTGAACTCAGTAAGGTAGTGGGACAGATGTTACATTGAGAGAGGCTAACTTTGGTGTTTATGCCTCCCTTGGTTGACAAGTTGAGGGAGTCCATTTAACTACACAGCTGACTTGAGGTGGATGAGCCTAAAGGCTTCAACTGAGGCCATGTGAATGTTTCTAACCATACCAATAATAATTAACAAATTTTAAAAAGTAAACACAACCCAAAAACCCCACAACCAAACAACAAACCGAAATGAGTCTAAATGATCAATCGTAACTCATCGTTGAAATCCCTGTCACTATGATAGGTAGCTATGACTTGCATAATGGATTAAACAGAGGAGATGATCTGCACTAATCTTTTTTCATATTGAATACTGTGGCTTCTCTGAAGTAGCTTGATTAAAAAAGAAGCAAACAAAAAAGCCCATACTTAGTGAGTGTGAAAAAAGGCCAGTGGACTAAAGCAGAGAACTGCAATTCTGTGGCCTTTGTCAGAGGAAGGGTTGAGTTCTCATACAGAAAATGCAGTTGCTGCATTCTGCTAAAAAAAAAAAAAGTATTTTCTTGCAGTGGGACAATCCACTTTAATTTTTAACATCACCTTTTCTTTGGGAGATGATGAGCTGAAATTTGTTTTAGATTCCATTATGAATATTACCATCCATTGAAGAGTGGCAGTTTCCTTCCTGCAATGATAATAGAATTGAAGAGTACCTCATGATTTTGTTATGTATTTTGTAAATGCAGCACTGAGTTTTTTAATTACTTTTTTCCTCTTCTGTTAAATATATATGTATGTAATGATTTCCCTTTTTTCTTCAAGAGAGGCTTTCTGTTAACTGTTCTGTAATGTCAGCAAGCAGTGTCACCCAGGATAAATTGTTTCAGTAAGGAGAATTTGCTTGGTTTTGGTGTGTGGAGGTTTTTTTTCCCTTTTTCAGGAAAAACAATCCATATTTATGTTCTTAATGCATAGTGTAGAAGTGGCATATTGCCATGTGAAAATTACCACTGTGGCCAAAAAGCAATTAACTGGTGCCAAGAGTTGTGTCATCAGTTAGCCGTGCAAACATGAGGATTCTCCTATTTTTTAATTATTATTTTATTACGTGTATCCATTGTAGAATGTGTTACAGGTTAAAGGACTTATTTGGACTTTCTAAGCAGCAAAAGCTTGGTGGAATATGAAATACTGAAGCCATACAGTTATGTCCTCCTTGTGACTGATTCACTGCTTTTTTCTCATTAACTTTTTCCTGCATATGCAAAAGGAGAAGATTTTCCTCTCTTTTCAGTGGCAAATAATAAAGGGAAAGATAAAGTGGTAATACTCCTCATCTCTTTTGTTATACAAATACCAGCTGCTTTTCTGCTCAAAAACTGTAACTCACACACTGAGTTGAAAGATGGCATATTTTTCCTTAACTTGTATTTATTTTTGAGGATGTCTGCTTTTGTTACATATCTGAAAAAGATTTGTGAGCCTGAATGGTCATCTTCTCTTTCAGTTTTATCAGTTGATGGAGTGAAAAATAGCACTCTTCCCACTCATATAATGTGTTTAAAAAAGGAATGCATTTTCACATGTTGAGTGCTGCTGATATGTCACCTGTTTGTATCAATGTTTTTGTACTATTCATCATTTCTGAGAAGAACTACATTTTGTCACGTATTACTTAATTAGATTTATGTTGCACCCCAGCAGACTTATTTTTTCCAGACTGCTTTTGCAGTCTGCAAACTGCAGAAGCAAGAAATTTCCCCCAGGACACGCCAAGTTATGTTGGAGGAACATTATGCTCTAAATACAGTGGTTACACTAGAATGATCAGAGGTGGAAGGAAAAATAAAATCAAGAATGGAAGCAGAGTACTAAAGGGACATTAGATTTACAGGTATCCTTGGGCTTAGGGAGCTGCTGTGAGAATTTTTGTTTGTGAAACATACCCTTTAATTAAAATTTCAGAAAGCAGTGAAGCTATGAAGACAGTGAAAGTTGCTTTTTCTTTTTTTTGTTAAAGACTGGGTTTACACCAAGTAGAAAATTTTAGTAAAATGATCAAGACATGAATTCTGTCTGCAAATACTTCTCATAAATGTTAACAGAAATATTAAAAGAAAATCATAATTGAAATTTGTTTGTTGGATTCAACTTTATAAAATTCAGTTCAGTGGCAGTATGACTATGCTTAAAGATGCAGGTATTACATAATACCTCTGAAAATATATGTCCTGATTTTTTGAGTGTGCTGTGTCTTTTGGGGGACTTTTTTTTGCAGTTTTCTTATTTGATCAGGCAGATGCTTTATGTGCAGATGTCAATGGCAGTGGCATTACAATGAACTGAAGTACAGCATCATTTAACATACTGAAAATGTTTGGGTTTTGCAGAGTTTCTTATGCTAAAAGGTTTTTGTAGTACAGGAATAATTGCTAACCCTTTTTGTACTGAAAACTAAGCAATATGACAAAGTTTCATAGTTCTCCTGTATGTTCTCCTTCCTCCCTGGCCTGTTATATTTAGTATGTTTTGAATAGATCACATTTTCAGATTTTTAATGCTGAAATATTGAAATTGTAAGCACTGCACATGGAAGCTTTGATTTAAACTCAATATTTTTAGAATAAAAATTATTTTGTAGTGCATTGTAAATTACAGCATTAGTCTGGTGAAAGAATTATAATAAAACACACAGGCAAACATTCGTTATATTCTGCAACGATAAGATTTTTATTGTGTTCTTCAAGATTTCAAAACGTTCTCAGGTTAAAAAAAAAACCACATGGATGCTTCATTCATGGAGTGCTAGCTAAGTTTAATTTTCTTGTGTTTTCTTCTTCAGCTTCTGTTTTACTGTAGCTGTGGATCTCCAAAGGCAGTGTTAGAGAGAAGCTCATAATTTTTTCATGTGGAGGGAAAAAGCAGAAGTCTGTCTAGTTCAGTATTCCGTTCTTGCAAGTAGCCAACAAAATATGACTACAGTGCTAGGTAAAGGCATATAGTGGTTCTTCCACAGAACTTACTCAGACAATTTGCATATCGGATGCTTTTCAAGTTGGTCTTGGTGCCACTTGAAGCAGCCCTGGGAGATTAAAACATGCCTTTTTGGTGCTTCCAGTCTTCTAGAGAATCACAGAATCACAGAATATCAGGGGTTGGAAGGGACCTCAAAAGATCATCTAGTCCAGCCCCACTGCCAGAGCAGGATCACCTACAGTAGATTGTACAGGTACGTGTCCAGGCAGGTTTTGAATGTCTCCAGAGAAGGAGACTCCACAACCTCTCTGGGCAGCCTGTGCCAGGGCTCTGTCACCCTCACAGTAAAAAAGTTTTTTCTAATATTTTTGTGGAACCTCCTATGTTCCAGCTTGTATCCATTGCCCTTTGTCCTGTCATTGGACGTCGCTGAAAAGAGCCTGGCACCGTCCTCCTGACACTCCACTTTGACGTATTTATAAACATTTATGAGGTCACCCCTCAGCCTCCTCTTCTCCAAGCTGAAGAGACCCAGCTTTTCCACTCCCTTCATCATCTTTGTGGCTCTGCGCTGGGCTCTCTCAAGCAGTTCCCTGTCTCTCTTGAGCTGAGGGGCCCAGAACTGGACACAATATTCCAGATGTGGCCTCACCAGGGCAGAGTAGAGGGGCAGGGGGGGCCCTATCGAACTACTAGCTACTCCCCGTCTAATACACCCCAAGAATAGTGTTTAGTTTTCAAACTTTTACTACACTGACCTTTGAACAGAATTTGAGGTGAAACATACCAGTCATACTCAGTGTAGTTCCTAGAAGTTCAAAATTTTGTTTCTTTTCTGTAAAATACTTAATTTACAAGTCAACCTCCCTCCACAGAAGATAACAAAAGTAGTTCAGAGCATCAGCTTGGAGCAAACAGCTGATGGCGTGCTGTGGATGACCTACCCGTCATGCAGATCCAAGTATCACTCACATCCGCACGAGTGTTATGGAAGTGACAGCAGAGCACAATCTATATAGCTCTTCTGAGAGCTAAAGATAAACAAGCAAAGGAACTTTTCTCACTTTAGTGCTGTATGACAACTGTGTTTTTAGACGACTGTGTTTTTAAATTAATTGAAACATTTTTCTGGTGTGGGCTATTAATAAAGCTGGATAAGTAAGGCTGAAAATAATATATATTCCATACCTTTGTTACTCTTGAGTCTTTCCTGTATTCATATACTTAATTTGAAGTACTTCTAAATCGATGTTGCCATGCAAAGATAGCAGTGGTTCAGATAAGTTCGTATCATTTTTCCTTTCTGACATGTAAATTTAATACTAAATTTTGGAGGCTCTGTGTGTGTGTTTATATGTAGTTTGTATCTAAAGCCTGGATTTTACAGCTCCTTGTGCATACACTAGCCTGTTAAGATTGCTCATCAGAATGAAGAAAAAAACATAAATGAGTTGTTTGATTTCTCTACTATTTTCTTTTGAAAATGCAGTTTTACACTCTTAAATTCTAGGACTTCTTTTAGTTGCAGAGAGAAGACTTGAACTTCCAGCTCTTCCTTCAGTTTTTCCTATTCCCTGATCAAAGCAGAGACAAGGCATAAAAGGTTATGTTTCAAATTGCACAAGCCTTCTGTTAATAAGTATTTCTGTAAATCAGCAAATTCCTGAATTACTCACTTTTTCCTGGCATTCTCCAACTTTGACAAGTAACCAAATTTATTTATATAGTTGTGAGTGAG